AGCATCTGGGCTTGACTTTCCTTTCCTCTTCACCCTTATGTGAATGACGTCTGTATAAATTAAATATGAAATAACATATCTTACAATCAAACTCTCTTTTTATCAACTTGAAGCTGACTGCAAGAAAAACACATGCTTTGCTTTAGTACCACTGCATTCACACAGTTCAAAATTTCTGTTCATGGCATTCGTGTTAGGCACATGCACAATTATCTGCACGTTCATCATTTCAGGGCATTAAGACTGCCAAATTCAGATGCCGCTACCCCCAGTCAGCAGTTAGAAAAATAGGAGCATGGAGTATCATTGATGCTAGGAAACAACAAGACAGCAGCTTTAACTTGCAGCTTCCTCCTTGCAAGGGCAGCCTCCCCTGGCCATAAGCATATGGGTAACGGACCAAGTATCAGTGCACCTTCCCTTAGATTCACCTGCTCATGCTCCCACAGTCCACGGCTAACATAAAATGGGATGGCAACAGAAAGAGAGTGTGAGAATAACAGGATGAATGTTTTGGAACATGCGTGGTGTATCTTGTACTACATTCAGCCCTGAAACTTTAACTTTCTGCTAGCCTCCTATGACACGTCTATTAACTGCTCTGAGACATACACAAGACACCATCCTGGAGCCATTCCCGATATTGCCACCTTGCAGTTGTCTCCTGCCCCACCTCTGCAGAAGCATGCTTCCTTCACAGCCAAGTTAACAGTGCCTGGAAACACCAGGTTAGGTCACCTTCAAAGGCTGTCCAACCCAACTTTGAAATTAAGAAGACTGGGAGCAACCTACTAATGCAACTCGGTAAAGGTGCAGGAGTGAATGGATGACCATGAATGGTAGCTTCCGAAATCACTGTGGTTAAATCCATTAGTAGAAGTCAGCCTCTGCCTTAGGAGCTTTTTATTTTTAATTAATACATAAAAACTTTCATCCTGGCTATAGTCAGGTTTTAAAAGTTGTGGGACTATAAAGTTACTTACACTTACACTGTCATAAAAATAGTCAAGACATCTCTGCTTATCGCTAACAACTCTCATTCCAACAAAGCTAACGTCAAAAAATACATCAGGCAGCTGGAAGAGTTATCAGACAGTAAATTTGTGATTTGGTTCTTGAGGAGTAAGGAAAAACAAAAAAAAAAGCACACTCAAAGTATTAGTTCATGTTCAAATAAATACCCTCATGAGCAGCAAGATTCTGAATCACTGCACACCAACCAGACAGGGCACCACACTCTACTGGATGGCCTAGCAAATGTCAGGGACCAAAACATAGTTTAGTTTCAGTTTCTCCTTTAGTATCTTACTTTAGAAATCAATTTTGAAAATGAAGAAAGAGCTAGACAAAAACGACAACAAAGAAAAACAAAGAAAGAAGTGAGATTACTAAAGCCATGCTTCTTTCATTATGTTTTAACCATATGACATTTAACAATTAATTCAACTTGGTAGTTCAATGAAAAGTAGTGAAACTGACTTACAGTTTACTGGAATAATTTTTTAAAATTAAGATCTATGCTTTGGATTTGAAAAAAAAGAGAAAACACAAGCTCTGGCTCCAATTACACTTGTTCATATGCTGCCACTAAAGAACAACTTAAGTTTCATACATCTTCCCTGACATATAAACTGAAGATGTACTGTAGAAATTTCAGGATAACTACACAGTCCTAACAAACAGGTTTTGATAACACAAAGTGACACATTTCAGTACATATTCATAAGGGTTGGGGGTTATTATTGGTCTGTAATTGCAGTTGTTCTAACACCTAATAAGCCATGGCTGGAAAAACAAAGGCAGGTTAATTTGTGATTTCCTCTACTCATTCAGAGGCAAATTAAGTGTCAAACAGCTAATACAGAACATATTTCATTTTATGAGATTTTAATTTAATTCTGCACCATATCGTTGATGCCTTAATGTAGGGCGGTTTATCTAAGAGGAAGAGCAATTTATAAACCTCTTTCAATTGAAATCTTTAATGATAGAATACGATAGCATAATTACAGCAATGCCTGCTAGCCCTACTATACATAAGCATCTGTCAGCAATTCCATCATAAACATAAACCCTTATTTTAGGGGTTTATAACTCAAATTATAAAATTTGGCTTCAGGCTGAAATTTGGGATACAAGAGTTCTTGCCCATCAGCAATTAAACTACAAGAATTATACATATAAATACATATACATCTTTAGAGCTGCAAGTACATAAGAGCCCTGTAATACCTTAAAAAATCCTCCTTTCTTTTTTTCCACTTGACCATTGTTCAAAAATACGTGCACACATTGTAGGTATCACGCAAACAAGTCCCTCTCCATATTTTTTCTGCACTTGTACCATACCTAAACTATTTCCACTAAGGCTTGACAGGTTCTGGAACACATTTCTAGGAGCTTGGATAACTGGAATTATGCCAATTTTTTGCCCTTTTAGAATTTATATTCCACACACACACGCACACATTGGAGAGTATTATGAAGCTGAGGAGAAAACCACTCATACAATGAAGTCATTGATGAAGCTGTGGGTAAACATTTTTATCCTGACTGGTGTTCTAGCCATTTTCTCTCTGAATTCTCAAATAACTTCTCAGATCCAGTTTTTTTTGTTTGTTTGTTTGTTTGTTTGTTTTTTTAAATGGCTGTCAGGACAGCAGTCCAAGTAATGGCTCAAAACCACCCCAACTCTAACACTCCTAAGTAATACTCACACCAGGCTCTGTAAAACTCGTAAGAGAACTGCTGGATGTCTACCTCATACGTACATTCAAACGTATTCCTAAAAACTGCTAAAGCATGACAGACCTTAACATCTGCAAAGAAGCTGCTGGAGTCCGAAAGATTTTTCTTTTAAGTTGCTTAATTGTGTATTTAAATTTAATTACACTGATGACAACGGCTCCAAGGGTCCATTACAGCTCGTCACTCCAATGGTGACACAAACCAAATGAGCGGGAGAATTGACAGAAGTTAATGGAAAAATAAACGGCTAGTATCAAGGAAATTTTGAGTTTAAAGCTTGGTCTGATATCAGAGCGTATTTCTAAAGCAGCTGCCTGCAGTCGTATCACATCACGCTAAGATCTGCTCGTCTCTAACAAGCCTCTGCAGGGCGCGGCTGAATCACCGCCGCACCGCAGGCTATGGCAGGGAGCGGGGGCGCGCGGCACCTCGCCGTAGAAGGGGCACTGATTTCAATGTCAGAGGGGAATACTGCTGAATGCCAAATGAGGCATGAAGGAGGTATTTTTAACATCTTTTGGGGATCTTACAGAAATCCTGGCACTTTTTGCAGTGTAAGCTGCTAGTCCCCACTGTCACCCAAAGTGGAGGGCGGTGGTCCACCCACCCAAAAGCCCTGTCCATGGGCGCAGGGTGTCGCGGTACAGGCTGGGTTCACGGGGTTCAGGCTCCGGAGAGGGCTCAGCATAGCAAGTGCAGCCAGGGAGGGTCCCACATGGCATGGGATCCACAAGTCCCCGCAAAGGTTCACAGGCGGTACCCAGATTTTGGATGACAGTCCTCTACTGATGCTGGTTAAAACACTTCCTGGGGCTCTCTACTCCATCTGTCTCATACCAAAGACAAAGGCAAGTTCCCCACTAGCTTCAGAAGAAGCAGGATTGTCCCCCCAGCTCCCAAAAACACCCAGGCACAATACTCACTGCACTGCAAAATCTAGGATGGCCATGTAATGACTCTGTCTCAGCCTGCCACCTTCAGCTTACAATGGTTTTTAGCCACAAATGTAAGCGTGTATTTGAGTATATTTTATGATGTGGTTGACTGTGGTGTAAATAGTGATGCATTAGAGGAACTCTGAGAAATAAATCACAAGTTTCTGTACTCTCTTCTATAAATACCCACTTTTCCTCTAATGCCCAAGAAGACTGCAACACAGATTTATTACTTACCTCCAGGCAAATTTGCTCTGAAATTACAATTCAGTAATAGAAGACTGGCCAAAAAACCTGTTAGTAAAATATCGTGTGTGTACTTCAGCATGTAGTTAGGACTGTTAATATCAATTAATTCTGCTCACAGAGGAGAACTTGTTTTAAAACAACTTCATTTTTCTGCTGCATATATGTAATTACACAGCTGTAACTAATAGCCATAGCAAAGCAATCTGCCATCTAAACAACTATCATTATTCTTCAAAGTATTACTTGTGCTTTTCTTCTTGTATTTTCTCAGTATGAGAAGTGATTAGTAGATATGATTAAATGTATATATCAAGCCTTTTAGCCAAGTAGCGAGCCCTGCTTTTCAGCTCCGTTTTTAATGGTATTTAGCAGTCTTCTGGACACACCAACTGTTTTATTATGCAATGCTGATATCTGTCTCCCCATTTAGAATAAGAAAATATTTATTTCTATAGGATTTCGCCAGTACCACCCTTTTCTAATGCATGTTATCACTGGCATTCGTTTCTTTTATCTTTGTGTAAACCATGTGCTCTATCACATTTGCCATTTGGTTTGGGTGACATTCCCATCAATCAAGCGATTGCCTGTGCGTGCACACAACAGGGACTATGAAAATTTACCAAAAATTTCATTATGCTTCATAGCAATCACTAGAAGAAAAAAAAAAAACAAAAAACCAAAAAAAACCCCACCTTTGGCATGAGAGAAAATTTTAGCTCTGATGAATCTCAAGCCTAATACAGACAAAATACATATTTTGTCTGCCTGTATCTCACAGGATTCAGCGCTTTTTAATTTAGTATTTATAGAACAACAGCACACGAAGTAATGTCAGCAAAACATATAAGTAACACTTGCCAGACACCTATTATAACAGGAATTCCTCAGGCAAAAGCCTGGGTTTTGCTTCACAAACAGAAAACCTCAATGCTTTCTGAAAGTAAACCTCACTCTCTGGCAAGACTGGCAAAGCGCTCCAGGTGCATGGCTTTAAGCACTGCAAAGTTCCAAATACTTGCCCGTTCTTCCAGGCAGCTGAAGCGAGGGGAAATACGGAATACTCACACATGCAGAGGAGGAATGGGAGATGGTTCGTAATGGTAGCGTCCCTCATGATGTCTTGCATCAATTGGTACAGGAGGGTGGAATGCTGGAAAGAGGTGAGGCGGATCTGAAAAAACAAGTGAGGTTCCTGGGTCTGAGTATCTCCAACGACTCTTTAAAAACAACATTCATAACGTCGGAACAGATATCGAAAAGCATGTGTCACCAGCGCAACAACTTACGAGTTGCATTCTCCTTCCCTGCTGCAGTCAGTCAGGTCTGTCTAAGAGGAGAGTTTGGCCCACAGTGTTGCATGAATATGTATTTACTAATTTAAATATTCTCTTTTTATAGCTTAAATGGAAAGGGACGTAAAGAACTCTTTAATAAATAATTATGTGCCCATATGTGAAGTGTCAGATCAAAAGAACCATCAAGCCTTTCATAAGCATTCCCAATTTATTTATTTTTTATTAAAACAAGAAAAAAAAAATCATTCCAGGATGAAAAGCCTAAGCAGAGAACACAATACAATAAAAAAAGTCTATCCTCAGACATGTACGCACAATCCTACAATGGACAGCAAAACTGAAGCAGAGGGCTGCAAAATTACTATCTGGAGTAAATCAGACAATGGTTAAAAGCGACGTGCAATTGGGCAACGCCATACTGGAGAAGCTGAACTGTGTCACACCAATGGCCACATCGGGAGGAACGAGCCTGAGGACAGGGGGACTCATTTCATACACCGCTCATAAAAAGCAAGGGTGCTTTCTTTGCCCCCACAGCTGGAGACCCATGGCTGCAGCAAGCCCCTCTGCCCCGTCTCCTCCAAGGCTTTCACAGGAGAAGGGGGTTTTGCAGCTGTCAGGGCTCCTGTTCCCCACTGTTTCCAGAGAGCCTCGGCGACGAGGCTGACAAAAGGGGGAATGCGCCCCTGCTACCCCCATGAGCCCGCCCCGCAGCCCCCCCACTGCTCCTGCAGCAGGATTGCCCCCCAGCTTTGGAAGACACAATGCACACGGACCACAGCTCTCTGCACCGGCACACTGGAGCTATTTGTGTGCCTAAAGGAGGTTACTGCCAACCGTGCTGTTCACTGCTGATTCCTCCAAATGCTCAAAATTCAAACGAGATGCTGAGCATCTCCAGTGGCAAGAAACAAACCAATCCTCCCCAATTATTACCTGATTGCCACTTGGGATGAAGTCATGTGTTTATCCAACACCGAAAGCTGAGAAGTACAGACATTAGGTCATGTCATGGATTTACTAAAATGCTTCTAGAAGGAAAGAAAACTTACTTATGCACTGGCAGTAAAACTAAGCCTACTTTTGCCTCCTGACTCTTGAAGGTATCTTCTCTTTTCTATGCAGCAAAATGTAATCCTCCTCTTAGATTATGTTATCTGTGAAAGCAGTTCCCTCATTATCAACTAGAAACAGTTAAAAAAAAAAAGAATTTTTTCTTTTGGTGTTTGTCAAAAACTTGGGTTAGTTTATTATTATGTTTTGAAGTAGAAGAAAGAACTAGAGGAACAAACCTCATGGCCCTGAGGGAGTAAATGGAGGGAACGAAGGGGGAATCGCATAAATTCTGATGAAATATTCCCAGTATTTCAGGAAAATATGGAAACATCTGACACAGCCTGTCCAGTCTGGTGGCTTGATTTTGTGAAACATCACCAGCATGTGATCAGCCGCAGCACATTTCTGCCATTTACTGACTCAGGGCTCAGGCATCACAAATGAGAAGTAATTGTGGCTTACTACTGAGAGCTGGGAGCTCAAACTTGCGGTAGCTTTAGTTCCAGTTCTGCTGCACGAATTGGACTTTGGCATGCAATCTGTTACAAGCTGAACACTCCTGGAAGTAAAGGTGGATCACAGATGACCAGGGACCCCTGCCAACACGCAGCCATCGTCCAAGGGGAGGATGCTTGCTGCCACCTCCTGAAACATATTCCTCACCAGCCACCAAGGTGGAGATGGGGACAAAGGGCATGAGAAGCGTGCTTTAGCGCATCTCCCTGCCTGCCCTGTTCCCTGCTTTGCTGGTGTTGGCTACAGCAGCGTAAGCTGAAGGGAGGAGGTTTTAAAGCAGATGTCTAGCATTTTACCAGAAAAACCCTGCCACCATATTTTCAGTGAAGAAGGAAGTCATTCTCGCCCTTGTAGAAGCAGAGGCAAGTCCTTCTCTGCCCTATGCGACCCTGAAGAATGAGTCTGAGGAGCGCAGGTCAGCCCACAGAGATTTTGTCACCCTTATTCGTGTCAGCCTCAATGGGCTCCACCTAGCCACAGCAAGCAATCCTGCTCAGGACGCTGAGCCCCCTCACTGTCCCACCCTCACCCAGCCTGAGCACCTACCTATTAAAAGCAGCCCAATATTTTTTTAGGCAGCGAAACACCATTTAACCCTCATGAACATGATCATCTATCTTCCCCTATCTGGGAAATGGAAAATGAGTATTAAATGCCCCAAAAAGGGTATTCCCCTTTGTGGTGCCTATGCAGGGCAGAGCACCAACAAGTTGTATTTAACACATGGGACATAAATCTCCACGAACACCTTTTTGAGTCCTCTCACACTAAGCTCCTTTGTTGCTCCTATCTTGGTTGCATCTTGTTTGCAGTTTCCAACTGGGAAACAGCCGTACTCCATCACAGCACAGGGAGCTGTCTCTGTCAGCCCCGCGCCGACCGGAGCAGAGCTGCATATCAAAACCCAACGTAATTCTCCATCTCACAGTTTATTATTTACACATGAGCAATACAGCTGGTGAACATCATAACTCAAGTGGATGTGTAGTAAGTTACTACACTGTAGCCATCTCCTGTTGCAAGAAAAAACACATGATGACTTTTCCAAAGTCAGGGTAAAACTGCTGAAGCAGAATAAAGTGCCTCTAAACCTGGCTACTTCCTATTTATCATATAATTTCCTGACTGATGGTTCCACAAACCAGCTGCTAAGTGCTGTGTACTCCACTGTCAGCAGACTAACATGCTAAATGGGAGACAGGGAGAACAATGTGCAGAACTAGTGGAGTCAATTTTACAGAGGGAATTCAAATTCTGCCATGTTTGGATCAACCCTCAGTGCAGAGGGAGGCAGTAAATTCTATGTGCTTGGGGGTCCAAAATCACTCCACTTTGAAGAGCATTGAATATTTATATGGAAAGACTCTTAGATCAGAGACCTGCCAAAGCACCCATCGTCCAGGGCTTCACTTGGAATTCACTTGAAATTCCATAAAAATGTAATCCGTTGACGTGTATTTATATGGAAATACACAGCAGGAAGTTTACTTGGGTTGTAGCCAGTCTCACATTGCTTTTTCATATCCCACCCAGTAACTATTTCATTAAAGGCACCATCAGAATATTACAGGCACATTCTGCCACTATTATTTATGCTGCAGCTGAGTAAAGAATGAGTGAGACTACTCACAGGCTAGAACTGACTCTGGACCTACCTGACTCCTGGCTGTTTGTGAGAGACGCTCTATGTATCTACAAAACCAGGGGCTACTCAGTGTAGAAGACAGGATACCTGCTCTGACTATAATGACATTTTCACGTTTCTCATTTGGTAAGTGTGAGGAACAAAGTTCTTACCCTCAGCAATGAGGAACTACTCTCACCAAAACAAATCCACAAAATCTGATTTCCTGTTCTGCCTGGGAAATTATTTATTACCATTTGCAACTTCTTAAAAATTCTGGTTGAGATGCAAACTACCACAGCACATACCAGGCAGTCTTCTTACAGACATCCAAAGGCAACTGTGAATTCCTGGACCAATCCTTCAATTACATCCTTGCAGAGACTCCCTGACGTAAGTGCAATACAGGAGTTAAGAGAGACAGATGCTGCCTGTGTACTTTGAGCCCTGAGCTCCAATTCAGCAGAAGCATCTGATTCCATGCTTAAATTTAACTATTTTCAAGAACTTGTATGGACATGCTGGCAATGAAAATACACTTAAAACACATTCCTCATGCATTGCTGAATTTGGTAGCTGTTGCCTTCTTCTGAATTCTCTGCTGCCTACCACTGTAAGCTTCCTTCGGATGCTCTCCTGTCTCCTGCATAGCTAACGGGGTCTCCTGAAAACAAAATGGGAGATACAACTGCCTGAAATGCTGCAAACTCATCAATTTTAGCACTATGAGATTTTCTGGAAAATATGTCAATTTATGCTGACTTTTTGTTGTATAAAGTGTGCCGTTTTATTTCTTCTTCAAGAATCTTCCTTGCCTTCTTAAAGGAAGTGAATAGGATCATCTCTCACAAATTACAATCACTCCCATACAGGAAAAAAAGAAGAGACCTATGCTTGTTCTCTGAAAGCCAGGCAACCTAGGGCTCTGCTGCAGCGTCACGGGAAAGAAACTGGGAGAAATGACAGGTATGGTCCTTGCTGCTGAACAGCAAACCTGAACTGAAGACTGATGAGAAGTAGCGGGCAGCAGCAAGTCACTACAAGACCTGCTGGAAAGGTAGATGATGCTAGCTGGCTCAAAGGTGCTGTGCAACACCTCGAGACAACAGCAAAGAGGCTAGGCTGCTCCGAAGCTCACTGAAGTTAAGGATGATTTCTCTGTAGACTCTGTAGTCTCTCAAATAAGCCTTATTCAGTTAGGGGATCGCTACATTTGGAAAGTTTGACTGTGATGGTAAGGCTAATAAAACACTCTGCCCTCACCTAACCAACCTGCTCAAGTACCTTGTAACTCCTGCCAAACCCTGGAGGAAGATGGCTGCTGAAATGACAGGCTGCATTTTTCAGCACATCAAGAAAACATTTGCTACTGTAGAAAAAGCCTGCATCGGCTTGAACACGCCCAGTGTGGCCCCCATGCCTGCACCTGTGTCGTGAGACTGGGGCCAAGCAAACACAGGACTCAAGCCCAACACAGGACTCAAGCCCAACACAGGAAGCCCTCGTTATATTTTAGCAGATTTGTCCTCAGGACAATCAGCTCACCAAATTAAATGTCAGGACTGAGCCAGGTGCAAAACTCTCTCTCGGATATTTGAGGTGAAATCTCCTTCCCGCTTAAATTCATTACGGTCTCGATGCTAAACTTGGAGGTACGAAGCTTTCACACCAGATGTAACA